GTTCAACATGTTAGATCAGTGTTCGGGGTCGAACTCAAAACATGTCTAACACAAAATTACCATTCGCTGAACGTTTTCATGCTACTTGGGTATGTGCTGTTTAAAATATGTAGAAACCCACACAGAACAAAAACTCTATTAGACGTCTATTAGACGTCAACAGCTCCATGCGACATCTAATAGATGTCTAATGGATGTCTAGATGGATGGATGTCTGTGTGGGAATATAATTGCATATGAANAAATCAACGTATTTCATGTATATACTTATGGAAATGCATAATGACTCTTTTTCAATTTTTGACAAATATTATTTACAAAATTTTATTTTAACAAAACTTTTGCGTTATGGCAAATCATCTTAGTACAATCATTGCAAAATCGTCATCATTCATGACGCTAGTTTTGTGCAATATTTTCACAATTTGCTTGTTGGAGTTGTATTGGACTTTGCCAGTTTTTGTCCCACATGAAGTATTTAATTTTCTCTCCATCTTTTTACTAAAAATGTGTGAGTATTTTCTACTCGCAGAAAACACACTTGATAGAAGAATTGACAAATATTCTTACGGGTTATTATCAATAATAATAACATTATTATTAATATTATTAAATCCAAAAATATATAAATATTATACAGATGTGAAAATTGTGTAAGATTATTCTTGCGGNACATTTTTCTCAAAGTACAATTTTTCTTTTAGAATTGCCAGTACAAATATATAAAAACATAGATCTCATAGTATCTGGTGGCGTACAGATTTGGGGTGTGAAAGCTACTTCGATCACCCGCCGACAAATAGACGCAGATCCCGTTATTGAGGAACACAGATTCGTGGCGCATCAAGATTGTGAAAAGGTTTCTTTGCACGAAGCAATACGTATATCAACGCAAATCGCACTGGAAGATCATCAAATTACGAAAGTAAAAGCCATCGAACTGGTGGAAGATGCAGATATTGTGAGCACAGAAGAACTAGCAATTCCGGCGATAATTGAAGCTTGCAATAATTTGCCGTTAGTACAGGCAAGTGTTACTCTAATGACATCGCTGACTCGTTTTAACGCATCAGACTTGCCACCGAACGTAACAATCGCGGATTTAAAGAAACACGTAGACACCAAAGTCTTAATGGTTATCGGATTTAATATTTTGTCAAAGCGACGATTACTAGAACAACTTTTACTCTTTCTTGAAGAAGGTGGTTATTTATTATCGCGTGAGAAATATGACGTAACAGAAGTAACAGAATCTTATCGTGTCTTTTCTGCATTAATCAGCAACGATAATCTAGAACAATATGGATTAAATGTTATTCTCGAAAAACGTACTGAAAAAGAAATAATTGTGCTTCTAAAAAAACGAATTACAATCAAAGAAACAACTGTTGTTTATATTAACAATAATAACTTTGAATGGGTGGAAAACTTGAAGCTATTTATAGACGAGAAGGAAACATTTAATCAGAACAAATGAATTGTAGTTGTTAGTGAAGGCGATTTCGAGTGCGGTTTATTGGGCTTTATTAATTGCTTGAGAAAAGAGCCTGGTGGCGAGCTTGTTAGAGGTGTGTTTATTCAAGACGAGACTGCTCCAAAATTTTCTTTGCAAGATCCCTTCTATGCGCAACAGTTGCAGAAAGATATGACAGTCAATATTTTGCGACCTAATAAAACTTGGGGTTCTTACCGACATTTCTGTTTGCCAGCTCCGGAACCCGCATTTGTTCCCGCTGCTTACTTGTGTCAAACGGTAGGCAAAACATTCGCAAATTTTGAATTTAATTATAATGTTGCGATATTTTTGTTATTTCTAACAATTTAACATTATCATATTTTTTATACAGGATCGTGGTAACCTAAGTACTTTTTGTTGGATAGAGAATGATATATCCATCGACTCCCATTGTGATGATTTAGTACATGTAGTTTATTCGTCCATCAATTTTAGAGATGTAATGTTGGCAACAGGAAAATTAACTACTTTAGGCATCGAAGAGCGATTCGAAAGTATGTTTCTTGGATTGGAATACGTAGGATTTGATGCCAAAGGACAACGAGTAATGGGAGTACGCAACAATAAGTACGCAACAATATATAATAAGTTATACATATTTATGCTCATGAAAAAAAAAATATGTTATACAATGATCAGTCATACATATGTGTACTTTAAGGTGCATCGCAAATGTCGTTTTGAAAAATGATTTACAATGGGTCATACCAGATACTTGGACATTCGAAGAGGCGGCTACGGTTCCTTGTGTATACAGCACGTCGTATTATGCTTTATATATTAAAGGAAAAATGAAAAAGGGTGATAAAGTACTTATTCACTCTGGTTCCGGTGGCGTTGGACAGTCAGCAATTCATCTTGCCTTACGTGAAAAATGCGAAGTATTTACTACAGTAGGCACTGCTGAAAAAAGACGATTTATCCGAGAAATGTTTCCGGCTATTTCCGACGATCACATTGGGACTTCGCGCGACACTAGTTTCAAAAAGATGATTATGCGCCAGACAAACGGTCGCGGTGTTGACATAGTGCTAAATTCATTGGCGGAAGAAAAACTTATAGCGTCTGTTCGTTGTTTAGCGCAAAACGGTCGTTTCTTGGAAATCGGAAAGTTCGACTTCGTGTCAAACAATCTTTTAGACCTATCATTATTTAGAAAAGGAATTTCTTTTTACGGTGTTTTATTAGATTTGATTTTACAAAGAGAAAAACACAATCACAAGACCGAGTTACTGAAATTAATGGCTGATGGTCTTAAGAATGGTGCTATCAAACCCATAAAAGCTAAAATTTTCCAACAAACAGAAATCGAAAAAGCCTTTAGATACATGGCAAGTGGAAAACACACAGGAAAGGTACATACCTAATATATAACAATTAAATAAAATTAACAATTAAACAAAATTTTCATTCTTGTTTTTTCAATGTATTTTAGATAATTTTGAATATTCAAGAGACAGACAAATGTCTTGTAAATGCGCCGATCATCGCACATCGTCGTTACTATTGTCGTAGCGATAGAACTTACATCATACTTGGCGGTCTAGGTGGCTTTGGATTGGAATTGACCGAATGGCTGATATCCCGGGGTGCGAGAAATGTCGTGTTAACTTCAAGAAGCGGAATAAAAACTGGTTATCAACGCCTAAAGGTCTCGTTATGGAGATCTTACGGCGTAAACGTAACGATTGTTAAAAATAATGATATTATCAATCCTATAGATTGTGAACATCTTTTGCTAAGTACAGAAAAAGAAGCACCTGTAGATGCTATATTTAATCTTGCTGTTGTTTTGAAAGATAACGTTTTAAAGAATCAAACTATCAAAAGTTTCGTAGAATCTTTCAGAGCTAAAGCCTGGCCGACACTGATGTTGGATAAACTATCTAGAAAGATTTGCCCTAAACTCCGACATTTTGTTGTGTTCTCTTCGGTTTCCTGTGGCAGAGGAAACGCTGGCCAAACTAATTACGGTATGGCTAATTCCGTGATGGAAAGGATATGCGAAAGAAGGGTAAAGGATGGATTTCCTGGTTTAGCGATACAGTGGGGAGCTATAGGTGATGTAGGTCTTGTTGCTGACATGCAGGAAAACGACAAAAAACTCGTTATTGGTGGTACGCTGCAACAAGGAATATTATCTTGCCTTAACGAACTCGACAAATTCTTACTTCAGAATCGGCCGATCGTAAGCAGTATGGTGGTGGCTGAAAAGAAACAGAGAGCATCGGAATCTAATATCATTGAAACTGTTGCTGCTATTATGAGTAAGAATTTACATACAAAATTTATATTTTTCTTATTGTGTTAACATTAATTAACATATTCTTTCTAACTTTTGACGTTTTTCCATTTTATGCGATAAGATATAAAAGACATTAAAAAATTAAGTCAAACTACATCTCTGGCCGAGCTTGGGATAGATTCTATGATGGCAGTGGAGATTAGACAAACTATGGAACGTGACTTCAACGTGTATCTCTCCTTACAAGAAATACGAAGCCTCACCTTTGCAAAACTCTTTGATATATCTGATACAAAGGCCATTGTTGAAGAAACATCTGAAAAAGCTACATCTGATAAGATAATCGAGCAGAACATATTTGGTATTGTACAAAACAAAGATTTCATCTCTGAAATTTTTGTAGACTTGTCGTCTAAAAACAAAGAAAGTGCTACTCAAGTCTTTCTTATACCAGGATTTGATGGTTGTGGAACTATATTTAATCATTTAGAGATGTATATTAAATTTACTGCAACATCTTTGCATTATAATACAGGTGTTATTTCCACTTGTAATACTTTGTCAAAGATGGTTGAGATTCTCGAACAGGTAAACCGTAAATAGTTTTTGTAGTGTAGTAATGTTTGTACCCAGTAAACAATTTGTTCGCAATTTGCCAGCAAATTGTCAGCAATTTTAAGCAAAAATATTCAGCAAATTGGCATCAACTGTGTCCGCATTAGGCTTCGATTTTGTTGCCAAAGCTTGTCGACAAAAAGTAACAGCAAATTGCTACCAAAAACCGAGCAAAGCTTGATAACATAATCTGAGACCAAATTGACGCCAAATATGAAACAAGATTTGCGCAACACGATTTGATAGCAAAATGACATTTATAATATAAAAAAATGACTTAGATTCATAATTTATGTTCTCGAATAAGTTTTCTTAGTTATTCTCTATGTTGTCTTATTATTACCTTGTAGAAAAAATNCATTGTGTTAGAAATCATCTCGACTGGATTTGAACCTGGAATTTGGAACCCTCTGATTACTAAGCGAGCACTCTATCAATTTAGTCATTGAAACTTTCACAATCAATCACTTTAAAACTAATGTTAATGGCATTCAGTGAGACATTTTGTTACTGATTCTAAATAAAACTATTTGTTACTTACTAAGTAAATCAGCGAATTTTTAACTGTTTCCTAGTAAAACTACTCTGTTACTGACACCTAACTTTACGAGAGGTATTTTTTCACTGCAAATCAGTGATATTATCACTGAACCAAATAGTGAAAATTTAATTGATTCTATTAGGAGAATGCAGTTTGGCCATAATACTTAATCGCTTTTCATATCTGTTTAGGAAAATTCAATTATGTATTAATAAACGATAAATATTGCGTACATGCATAATCTAAGTTATATATTTGATAATATAGAAATATTGTAAAATTATTTAAAATTAAATATTATACAGACAATTAATTGTTGTAAAAAATATAAATATTAAAATATTTCACATAGATGTCATTTTAAGATTTATATAATTATTGTCAAGTTAATATTCAAATGTAAACATAATTTTACATATATTATGTATAAAGATTACGGTAAATATACAGAATAGGAGAGCCCCCTCTGATCGGCTACTCGTTCATATATTTTAATATGACCTTCCTGAGTACGTTTCTAAAAGTTTTAGCCGTCGCTCATTGTTTATAAAAAAGTTATAATCAAAAAAAGTTTCATAAATAAATCTTTTTTCCCGACAACATATACATTTTTTAATGTGTTGAAAGCATGTAGGCAGGGGGGGCTGCGCTCCCTCGCAGGTGGAGGGGCTTCGCCCCTTCCTCCTGCTCTTCCCTCGAAAAAAAATAGAAAACGACTTCTGATTAAGTGTCGTTAAAAATCACATACATACTATCGATATGAAGCTGTAATCAGAAGTCGTTTTCTATTTTTTTTTAGGGAGGAGGGGCGAAGCCGCAACACCTGCGGAGGGCGCAGCCCCCCCCCTGCCTACATGCTTACAATAAAGAAATGAAAATAAATCGTATAGCAATTCAACCCATAAATATGTTTGTGTGTAACATATATTTTTACATAAATACATCTCACATTTAATGTAGTGGATACATTGCACTCATTATGTCGAAAAAGACATCAATTCTAGTATCAAAATTACACTTTGAGCGAAAAGACGATTACAAACGAAGAAATCAAAACAAAACAGAAACTTTCGAGGTATGCTACATATACACACATTGTTGGCAACATAAACATTACTCATTTCCTTCTGAAATGTACACGGTGTCGAAAAACGATAGTTTATTCATGAAACTTTTTTTGTTCTGAACTTTTTTATAAACAATGAGCGACGGCTAAAACCTTTATATTGTTACTCAGGAAGGTAATCTTAATAATATATGTGAACGAGAAGCCGATCGGAGGGGGATCTTCTTTTCTGTATATTTACCAAGATTTTATATATATATAAAAATTCAAGATGAAAAGCAGTTGAAGCAAGACACGGATGTTGTTGTGCAAACTCGTGAAGATGATTTTTATTTCAAGATGTAATGTGTATGTATAATGTGATGTATGTATAATTGATCAATCAGTAATTGACAGCTCACGTGTTAACATGTATCCATCTCGTTACACGACGACTTTAATAACAGCATATTACTAAAGATTGTGATAAAGACCTAAACCGATGGTCGAAACGTTATCACATTATACATACACATTACATCTTGAAATAAAAATCATCTTCACGAGTTTGCACAACAACATCCGTGTCTTGCTTCAACTGCCTCTCATCTTGAATTTTAAAATCTTTGGAGCTATTTGTCTTTTCTATATATATATATGTATATAATTTGTAGAAATAAATTTAGGATATATGTCAATAATTCTTTACAAGTTTATACATACATAAAATGCGCGTACATCTAGCATCGCTCGTATAAATTTTCTAATAGTTAGTTTGCTAAAAAAGTATTTCATTATGTCATCTTAATATTTAATTATTGGAAAAAAATAGGTTAAATACTCAAATGTAAAAGTAATTTTATATATATTATGGATTATAGATAGTGTGTATATACAATTTAGAAATAAGTCAAGATATAATTAAATAGCCTTTTAAATACCATATAGTTTAACTAAACTGCAAGTCTTGCTCAGTTTTTGTTGTTATTTTGCTATCAAGTCGTGTTACGCAGATCTTGCTTCATATTTGGCGTCAATTTGGTCTCAAATTATGTGCAAGCTTTGCTCGGTTTTTGCCAGCAATTTGCTGTTACGTTTTGTTAACAAGCTTGGATATATTTTTGCTAGCAATTTTGCAACATTGCCAGATAAAACAAACTCTGCATCATATTTGATGTCTTTCTGGTAACAAAATTTGTAACAAGCATTTGGCAAAATCTGTTTCGATAGATTTGGTTACATACCTGGGTACATACAGAGTGTTCGTAAAATTTTTTACACAGCCGAAGTATGGAGATAGATTGAGTCAAACTGAATAGAAAAGTTATTTGCCACTTTGCAAAATTCGCAATAGTTAATGAGATACAAAGTAATAAATGTGTGCCAATGAGCGCGTGAGAAGCGATAGTCCTGACTCTGTAGGCGTAGGTGTGTGACTGTCAAAGCAACGAGAGGCGGAGTAAACAAATGAGCGCGATGTGTGACTCGACTGATTTCGCGATCAGCCGTTATTCGGCGGTACGCAAAGGAGCGAGCAGCGCTCGAGGGATAAGAAGCCACTGCTTTCCGCGATCAGCGGACAATCACACACGCCTACAAAGTCAGAACCATCGCTTTTCACGCGCTCATTGGCACACAGTTATTACTTTGTATCTTATTAATTATTGCGCATTTTGCAATATGGCGAATAACTTTCCTTATTCAGTTTGACTCAATCTATCTCCATACTTTGGCTGTGTCAAAACTTTACGGACACTCTATATATTTTTTAAGAATCTATAAAGTTTGAGAAATACTTTTTGGATGTATGGCAGGTTATAGTAAAAAAATTACAAGACAAAAAAGATTTTGTCATGGTTGGATATTCCTTCGGAGCTATTCTCGCAATAGAACTTGCAACACGATTGGAAACTGTAGGCTTTAAAGGTCGGATAGTTCTTATCGATGGTGCACCTGATCACTTAGTGTTACTAAGCAAGCATTATATAAAATTGTATGTAGAATCTGCAGAAAGTAATGATGCAGAAATGCAAGTTTCTATTTTGATTGGTATTCTGAAAAGTTATAACATCGAAATAAGTAAAAAGGTATTTTTTAATATAATACATTGATATAATGTACTTTACATATTTAATATAATGATTTGATTTTTTATACTGTCGCGCAGGACTTCTTGATGGAATTGCAAAAGTGTAAAAATGACGACAAAAGATTTGATATTTTTGCAAAACACTTTTTGGCTCATAACTCAATGCTCTCGCTTGCAAATTTGAGGACACTGTATACAACAGTGTATAAACATGTACTTATTCTTCAGAAATATGATACTTCTGTTATACCACGTATCAAATTGCCTATAACTTTGCTGAAACCTACACATTCTTCTGTGCTTGAAGCCGACGAGGATTACGGTTTACATAAGGTATGTCACAAAAGTTATTATAATTTCTGATCTGATATTGCATCAGACTTGTCAGTATTATCAGAATTTGTAGATGTGATACATACAATGATGCATATGTTTTCTAGATAACATCTGATGTAACGATACAGTATGTCGAAGGAAATCACGTGACAATTTTGAGAAATCCTAAGGTGATTACTACAATAAATGGAGAAATTTAATGTATTCTCTCATAGGAAATAACATAAGTGGGGTGAGAAAGGTCAATTGTAACATGGGGCAATTGTAACAGTCAATAAAAAAATATTATAGAGTTAAAAAAATTTTTTTTTTGTTTTTAATTATGTTTTCCTATTTGAGTTCTTACGTTAGCGAAAATTCTGAATTTGTATGTTAACTTAAAATTATTATAATAAAGTTATTCAATTTTCTTAGTATAAAAACGTTTTTTCCACTCTGTAGAAAATTATTAATAACATTTTATATTGTGCACGTAATAATAAAACATTTTTTCTAATATTTTGATTTGTTATAAGTGATATTCAGCGCTTTTTAATATAAATTATGTTGCAAGTTCCATTCAATATATGTATTTACAAAAGATGATCAGTGGGAGTCAATTGTAACAGCGCTCTCAGGGTTTGTTGTAACATCTCGATTGCGTTCGATGCAGTAGTCTGCGCGCGTAACATAACCTCTTCACTCTAAAAATTCTGTGATGTGATGAAACATGTGCAATAGTCAACACATTAAAATTCATATTATTAAGTGTATTAAGTGAGTTAGTTATATGTAATAATCAGATAGCTATGGTAAGTAAAAACCTGTAAGTAGTATGTAGCCCATTATGGCGCGTCAAAACAAACCCCCATCTGGCTCTCCCACCCCAACTGGCGCCATTGCCCCTCCAGAGTGGTTTCCCCTTTCCTTTCAGTTTGACCACGCCCACTAAAGGGGATAGAAGTGTGACATGATTTATGACCCTATAAATTTTTATGTTTTATTTTTTAAATGTGTATTTGATTTTTTAGGAGTTTGTGTAAGAAAAGGGAGGAAGGTTCGGATAGAAAGGTGTAATTCTTTATTAAAAGAGTATAGATGTTTATTGAAAATCCGTCTTAAAGCGTAACTGGTAATGCTGTTGGTGCTCCGTTGTTGTTGTATCGTACGCTCTGTGACGAGGTAAACCCCGCCACTAATATGAAATATATATTATTATTTTTGTATCACTATTATTATTTTTTGTATTATTATTATTATTTTGTTATTACTTAGTATTATTTTGTATTTTTCTATTATTATATATTAACCGGTTAACTGGCACGGCTTTTTTTACTATTCATGCCCGAACTGGCACCATCGAAAAATTAAGTGAATCCCACAAGATTTGGTATACAAGGGTTTTTTGAGTCGCCGAATCGATTCCGGTGGTTATTTTGTTGATCTGACACTCCCCAACCCCTAAAAAATAGAATTTAGGGGTGAGTTTTTTCAATTCTTTACTAAACCTTTTTTTTATTCTGTCGCTTGTATTGCGGAATGAATAGGGGTTTAAGGGGTTAATTTTTTACTTTTTTCATTTTTTACGAAACA